GAATCGAGCCAGGACAGCTGACTCTGGCCTCCCATCACTGTTCAGACCCGGGCTCACACTTCCAAGAAAAAGAAGAGGCCTCTGTTGTGCAGATACCATTGGCCCTCCCCCGCCAGGGACAAGCTCCTGCCTCCCACAAGCTCAGCCCTACTGCCATCTGCACCACACCAAAGCCCACATCACAGGCGAGCAAGGTAATGAGCCAGGTGCTGTGACACAGCAGCACCCAGATCCCCTCAGTGAGGGCTGTGGGCAGGCAGGCTTCAGCAATCAGCCCTTTCAGGGATTTGTTGGCTGCACAGACCTGCACTCCACACGACAGCTGTCCCAGGCAACCCTCATCTAACGACTGATGGGTGCAGAGCAGGAAGACCTGACTATCTCACCAGACTGGAGACGGCTCTGAAGGGCTGTGCTGTTGCTTGCTCTTGCTCCAAAGCAGAGGCTATCGTGGGGCCTTCCTCGCCACTTGAGTCTCCCTCTGCCCACTCTTGCTTCCCGCGCCTACCCCACAGGTGTTGTCCCAAAAGTATCCCTTAGTAAGGATCCTGCATGACAAACTCTCTACCTCCTCTTCAGGAAACCTAGCCTATGGCATAAAGTCCCAAAGACATATTGACACAATTTTCTGCCACCTATGGATGCTCGTGAATAACACTCTTACACAAGCCACAGTACCAGATGACAGCTCTGACTATAGTAATCTTTCTGAACTCCAACACCCCACTTTTCTCAAAGTCCCAAAAGGGAGCTTGGATTTCACCTGGAAAGGATTCTCACTTTATCAGCCCTCAAAGTGCCTTGCCATGCCCTCCAACAGCCACAGACTCCGCCAGCTTCCATAGCACCACTTTCGCCACAACTCCCCAGAGGACAGAAGGCCAGACTGCCACCAGGGTCAACAAGCCACCCACAGGGCGAGCTAAACAAAGGAGCACTCTAGGTGCGGAGCCCACAAGCATGAACCGTCAGGCACTCTTGCTGCACTCTGTGTGTACAGCCACCTCTCTCAGATCAGGCACACCCTTCTCTACCCAACCTCCACCACGAGCCCAAACTACTCACCACTCAGCCTGGCCTGCAGCCCCTGAGGCAGGTGGAGGGAAAGGCCATGAGAGGGGAGGTTACACTGAGTTCTTACTGCCATTTATGGCCAGTGCTTTGGACTCTGAAACTTAATCGCCACCAGTGCCTGGGGAGGATGGAAATGGTGGCCTCAAGAGTTGGCTCTGCACCTTTCCTTGTGAGACCCTTCTTGTTCTTGATGGGTCGCACAAAGTCAAAGAACCTCAGCTGGGCCCTGTCAACCCAGACAAAGATACTTCCTTCCTTGGAGCTGGAGGGGAGCCCAGGTTGGTGGGTCTTAGTGGGCTCTGTCAGGCCCTGGAGCCAGCAGAGAGCTCCAGGGTGAGTTCCTGAGCAGGGCAGGAGACACGGAGACGCAGAGCCTCCTTGAACTCTCTTTTCTGTGGACTTGCACTTCTGTTCTGCTACTTTGGTTTCTGCTGGTTGCATCTGCTCCCCCGGAGCCTGTCCTACCCCAGTATGTGGGTCTGGCTGTCTTGCTGCAATAAAGCCACAGACTGGGCAAGTTTCTTAACCTGAGTCTCAGCAGTTCATGGGTAAAATGAAGCATCCATCTGACAAGGCTTTGAAAAGTCAAACAAGAATTACCCCATTAAGTGCCTACTATGGCTCGAATGGGGAAATTCATGTTGAAGCTCAATCCCCACTGTGGTAGTATTAAGAGGTGGGGCCTCTAGAGAAGTGATGGTCACCAGGGCTCTGCCTTATGAATGGATTAGTGCCTTATAAAAGGGCAAGAGGAAACTAGCTTAGGCCCTTTTTGCCCTTCCATCTCTTCTGCCATGTGAAGACACAGCAACAAGGTGCTATCTTTGAAGCAGAGTACTACCTGTTCCAGATACCAATCCTACTAGGATCCTGGACTTCCCAGCCTCCAAAACTGTGAGAAGTAAACCTCTATTGTTTATAAATTACCCAATTTGTGGCATTTTGTTACAGCAGCACAAATGAACTAAGAAGGTGCCCAACAGAGGGCCTGGCCCTAAGTGCTCAGTATACAAAAGCTACTATTAGCTACTATTAACCATGATGATGATTGGGTAAAGAAGATGGGACAGTCCATTTGTCAGCTTCTACCCACTCCTCCTCAGCTAACATCCAGGCCCTCCTCGCTGCAACTCCTTAGTCACCAAAGCACTCACTGTCTACTCCAAGTACAGCAACAACACACCATTTTCCTGGCTTATGCTGCAAATGGAGTCCAGAATCTGAGAAGACATTCAAGTCCTATCAGGCACACCTAAGTAAGGTGCTCCAGCTCTTGCCCCGCCCTTTGGGCCTCTTAGGGTAAAGCCTCCAGCACAATGGACACTAAATACAGGCTTAGTAGGTAAGGCCAAAATGTGAAATACCATTCTCACCCCACTTTCAACCAATCATCCAACAGGCTGGATAATCCAAAACTAAGTCCAAACTCAGGGGCAGAGGGAGAATAAGAAAAAGAGTACAGGCCAGGAACAGTGGCTCATGCCTGCTACCCCAGCACTTTGGGAGGTCGAGGCAGGCAATCACTTGAGGTCAGGAGTTTGAGACCAGCCTGGCCAACATGTTGAAACCCTGTCTCTACTAAACATAAAAAAATTAGCTGGGCGTGGTGACGCATGCCTGTAATTCCAGCTACTCAGGTGGCTGAGGCATGAGAATCGCTTGAACCCGGGAGGTGAAAGTTGCAGTGGGCCGATATCGTGCCACTGTGCCCTCACACTTCTCATTCCTACCCCAGTTTAACAGTGATTTGTGTCTGGGAAGGCCAAGCACAGCACATTTATATACAGCAGCTCTTCTGCTGTTAGATTCCTTCAGGACATGTAAATGCCTGTAATCTCCATGTTTTCAACCTAATACAACATGAAAACAGGGAGTGCAAATACACTAATCAACCATTTGCTTTCTAGCTGCTCTATATGTAGGAATGTAAACACTTCTCAGGTGCGGTGGCTCACACTTGTAATCCCAACACTTTGGGAGAGCCGAGGTGGGTGGATCACTTGAGCCCAGGAGTTCAAGACCAGCCTGGGAAACATAATGAAACTCCATCTCTACAAAAAAATAAAAATAAAAAATAAAAAAATTAGCTGGGCATGGTGGTGCATGCCTGTAGTCCCAGCTACTCAGGAGGCTGAGGTGACAGGATCATCTGAGTCCAGGAGGTTGAGGCAGCAGTGAGCCATGATTGTGCCACTGCACTCCAGCCTGGTGACAGAGTAAGACTCTGTCTCAAAAAAAAAAAAAAAAAAAAAAAATTTAAAGAAATGTAAACACTTGTTATAAAGTAAAGCTGGGCACAGTGGCTCAAGTCTGTAATCCCAGCACTTTGGGAGGCCAAAGCAGGTGGATCACCTGAGGTCAGGAGTTTGAGACTAGCCTGGCTAACATGGTGAAACCTCGTCTTTATTAATGGCTGGGCGCGGTGGCTCAGGCTTGTAATCCTAGCACTTTGGGAGGCCGAGGCAGGCAGATCGCCTGAGGTCAGGAGTTTGAGACCAGCCTGGCCAACTTGGCAAAAACCTCATCTCTACTAAAAATACAAAAAATTAGCTGGGTGTGGTGGCGGGCGCCTGTAATCCCAGCTACCAGGGAGGCTGAGGCAGGAGAATCACTTGAACCCCGGGGGCAGAGGTTGCAGTGAGCCAAGATTGCACCACTGTACTCCAGTCTGGGCGACAGAGAGAGACTCCATCTCAAAAAAAAAAAAAAAAGAATACAAAAATTTGGCCAGGCGTAGGGGCTCACGCTTGTAATCCTAGCACTTTGGGAGGCCAAGGCGAGCAAATCACCTGAGGTCGGGAGTTCAAGACCAGCCTGACCAACGTGGAGAAACCCCGTCTCTACTAAAAATACAAAATTAGCCAGGCGTAGTAGCGCATGTCTATAATCCCAGCTACTTGAGGCTGAGGCAGAATTGCTTGAACCTGGGAGGCAGAGGTTGTGGTGAGCCGAGATCGTGCCACTGTACTCCAGCCTGGACAGCAAGAGCAAAATTCTGTTTAAAAAAAAAAAAAAAAATTAGCTGGGCGTGGTGGTGGGTGCCTGTAATCTCAGCTACTCAGGAGGCTGAGGCAGGAGAATTGCTTGAACCCGGGAGGTGGAGGTTGCAGTGAGCCAAGATTGCTCCACCGCACTCCAGCCTGGGTGAGAGTGAGACTCTGTCTCAAAAAAAATAAATAAATAAAATACAAAGCTAACCTTTTTATAATTAAGCAAATTATAATCTCCTTAAAGGCTGCAACTGTTTCTTCATCTTTCATAGGTCTTATGACCCCCAAGAAACCGACTTCAAGGCACTTGAAAATGTTGAGTTTGCTAAATGAATAAATGCAAAATTTACGCTCAAACATACAAATGAATGCATATTTGCATGCGCACATACTCTCACACATTTTACCAACCCTCCTCCAGGATAAAGTTTCTCCTCACCAACATGGATAGCAGAAGTCAACTAAAACTGTAGAATACTACATGTTATTAACTCCGTGAAGAGAACTAATTTTTCACAAGACTCGCCGTAGGCTTTGACCTGAATAAAACAGGAAAAGATCCTAAGAGATTACAAAATTTGACTCCTTCCCCTTTACAGAGCAGAAACTATGGTGCTGAGAATCAGAAAGAAAGGAAGATAATGGCAGCTCTGAAACCAGTCTTAGGCCTTGCCGACTCTCAGCACCTTATTCTTTCTGCTAGCATTTTGGCAGACGTGACAAAGAACATCCCATACCATCTCCCTGCAACAGTGTGCTCATACCATCTGCATGGTACAATGTCCTTCCACTATAAGAGACAAGCAATTGTATTTTAAAATCTTTCTAAACAGGTATTTCTATTCAGCAGTGGGTTGCTTTATATCCCCAAAGACTCTCCAGTCAAACTTCCTTTTGTTACAGGATACAAAAACAGTTCACACGAATGATCATTACCTTTAACAAGCAATTTGTCTCTCACAGAAACCCTCCGAGTCGAGTCGGACGCTGTGGCTGCCGTCCGGGACCCTTTGAGACCATCGTCACGCTTCAGTTTGCTTGCTAGCGTTAGCATTACTGCTGCCTTTACCCTGAAAGACAGCAATGAAAGCAGGGTTAAGGACCAGGTCTCCAGAGACTAATTAGACATTGAGGAAAATGTACAGGTGCTTTTGCATTTTGATTTTTTCCCATAATTTAGTTATGGAAAAAATTTGCACACATTAATAAGATTGGATTCCTTCATAATACATTTGAAAAGCTCTATGCCATCCTCTATAAGCCTAACTTTTAAAATTATGAATTAACTTTATTTATTTTTATTTTTTATTTCTTGAGACAGAGTTTTGCTCTTGTTTTCCAGGCTGGAATGCAATGGTGCGATCTCAGCTCACCAAAACCTCCGCCTCCCAGGTTCAAGCAATTCTCCTGTCTCAGCCTCCTGAGTAGCTGGCATTACAGGCATGCAGCACCATGCCTGGCTAATTTTGTATTTTTAGCAGAAACAGGGTTTCTCCATGTTGAGGTTGGTCTTAAACTCCTGACCTCAGGTGATCCGCCCGCCTTGGCCTCCCAAAGTGCTGGGATTACAGGCATGAGCCACCGTGCCCGGCCATGAATTAACAGTTTTTTAAAAAGAGAGTCATGGCTGGGCGCGGTGGCTCACAAATACAATCCCAGCACTTTGGGAGGCCAAGGTAGGAGGACCACTTGAGCCTAAGAACTCAAGACCAGCCTGGGCAATATGGCAAAACCCTATCTCTACAAAAAATACAAAAAAATTAGCCAGGGGGTGGCATGCGCCTGTAGTCCCAGCTACTCGGGAAGCTGAGGTGGGAGGATCCCTTGAGCCTGGGAGGTTGGGGATGCAGTGAGCTGTGATTGTGCTACTGCACTCCGGCCTGGGTGACAGAGCGAGACCCTGTCTCAAAAAAAAAAAAAAAAAATTAAAATTAAAAAGTCATGCAGTTCACACTCACTGGTTATCCACTAGGTGCCAGGCCCTGGGATGTGGCCGTGACGAAGCTCCCGTGGAACACAACGTCTAGGGTGCCTCCACAGCTTCTCAACCAGCATGCCCTCACCAACGGGTTCCACATGGGTCCATTACTGTCCACTAGTAAGTCTGCCCTGCCCTGCTGCAGGGGATCATGTACACACATGGTATGGTCCCAGGGTCTGGCCCATCACCAACTAAAGCAGCACAGCCTCTGGTGGAAGAGGAACACCACTCTTTGCTCTCCTTCCTCCTTTAATAAAGGTGTGACCAGAGCCTTAACAAGCATCTTCTCATTTATTCATGCTGTGTTGCATTTACTTATGTTTGTGTTTTATTTATATTTTTTGGCAATTTCAACATCAAGACTGAATTAAAATTAATGTCCCCAGGTAGATTATGTTCACTGGTGGCTTCCACCCCATCTGTGTTGCAGGTTCCCCTGCTGCAAGCTCACTGGGAGGGACAACAAAGACCAAACACAGGTGACGCCACTTGCTGCCTGGGAGACAGTTGAAGAAATGCCACAATTTGTTTAAGATTTTATTTTTTAAGGGCAGTTTTAAGTACACAGTAAAATTAAGAGGAAGGTACAGAGATTCCCCATATGCCCGCTGCCCCAACACACGGAAATCCTCCCCTATTACCAACATCTTCCACCAGAGGGTACATTTGTTACAATTAATGAACCCACATCAACACATGATAACTCAAAGTCCACAGCTTACGTTATGATCCCACTAATTATACAGGGTAACTATCCTCTAGACTCTGCCTTCTATTTCTAACATAAACTGACATTAATCTTCCTCCTAACTCTTACTTACTTTGCCATGGTCAGAGAGGGTCTCTGGAACTTCTTTTGACTGAGGACAAATATTTGTCACTAGGGCCGGGTGCTGTGGCTCACACCTGTAATCCCAGCACTTCAGGAGAACGAGGCGGGAGGATCACGAGGTCAGGAGATCGAGACCATCCTGGCCAACATGGTGAAACCCCGTCTCTACTAAAATACAAAAAATTAGCTGGGTGTAGTGGCGCACACCTGTAGTCCCAGCTACTGGGGAGGCTGAGGCAGGAGAATCGCTTGAACCCGGGAGGCAGAGGTTGCAGTGAGCTGAGATTGTACCACTGCACTCCAGCCTGGCAACAGAGTGAGACTCAAAAATAAAATAAAATAAGATAAATTGTCACCAGTTCAATACTTCCACAATTTCCTTTGTTGCTTTCATATCATTTTATTTCAATACCACTCTGATCATTTCAACAGAAAATGATCTAAAAATTCCATGTGAAAAGCTTGACATAAGCACAGAAATTTTAGGTTGAGACTAAGATCCTGAAAGTCAAATAAGAATACTCCTTTCCTCATTGGCATTTGAAACCATTTTTCACCCAGGTCTCTTACACAGTTTCTTATACCATCTTCTGCCTATCTCCTAAAGGCTGTCAGATTTTATTTTCTATTGTTTGTATCATGAAAACAGTATAGGCCGGGCATGGTAGCTCATGCCTGTAATCCCAGCACTTTGGGAGGCCAAGGCGGGTGGGTCACCTGAGGTCGGGAGTTCTAAACCAGCCTGGCCAACATGGCGAAACCCCATCTCTACTAAAAATACCAAAAAAATCAGCTGGGCCTGGTGGCGGGTGCCTGTAATCCCAGCCACTCAGGAGGCTGAGGCAGGAGAATAGGTTGAACCCAGGAGGTGGAGGTTGCAGTGATGGTGCCATTGTACTCCAGCCTGGGCAACAAGAGTGAAACTGCATCTCAAAAAATAAAAAAATTTAAAGAATTTTTTAAAAATGAAAACAATACGTAGAATACGACCTTCTGAACTGCACAGTCTTTTCCACTCAGAGGACACAGACATACGCATACCATAAACCCCTTAAGAAGTACTGGTCTAAAGGCTTCCAAGACAGCTCTGCGCTTCCACAGTCATAAGCTCTTAGAATTGTAAAGTTGGAATGGACTTCTCCCACTCCCATTCCATTTTAACATGTGGACCCCAGGACAACAGGGGCCCAGAAGGCAGCCTGCCCAAAGCCACTCAGCTGCTAGAAGCAGTCACCAAAGACATACTAGTTTCCCTCTTGTGGATGACAGAAATGTTTTTTGTTTGTTTTTTGAGACAGGTCTTGCTCTATAGCCCAGGCTGGAGTGCAGCGGCGTGACTCGAGCTCAGTGCAGCCTCAAACTCCTAGGTTCAAGAGATCCTCCCACCTCAGCATCCCCCATCCCCTAAAGCAGCTAGGATTACAGGCACGCATCATTACGCCCAGCTAATTTTAAATTTTTTGTAGAGACAGGGCTTCACCATGTTACCCAGGCTGGTCTTGAACTCCTGAGCTGAAGCAATCCACCTGCCTCAGCCTCCCAAAGTGCTGGGACTATAGACGTGAGCCACCACGCCCAGCAGGACATGTTTTTAACTCGATTGTGGTCATGGTTTCAGACTAATCAATTACACAATTTAAATATGGGCAGTTTAGTGTTATTTCAATTATGCCTCAATAAAGTTGACAAAAATGTGAAAATAAGCCAACATTAGTTTCTTCATTGTTACGCTACTGTGCCATCTCCTCAGGTGGACCTCCATAAGAGCACATCTTCACAGCTTCGCCCAGGGCAAAGCAGCTGGGTTCAGCTGATGAAGTTACTTCACAGGAAAAGAGTCACAAACACCTGTAGGGTCTTCAGCTACCACAGACAGTAGCACCATCTAGAGCCAAGCTCTCCTGCTTCAGCCCCTACCTGGAATGATCTTGTCAAAAATCCCTCACAAGGATTCCTTATCATAGAACAATGTTTCCCTTCCCAGCCAAGTCTGCTGCCACGTGTGCAGACTCAATCACATCAGTCCTGCCACATCATCAGGGTCACCCAATTATGGACCAAGACGTGCATCCATCCATCACCTGAGGGTCAGCTGGATGCACCAGATGCCCTACACAAGGACTACCAGGTCTCTGGCTGACCTTGGCAATGCAAATGAAGCAAAGAGCAAAAAATAAAAGCACAACATGCTTGAACATGAGTTCAGCAGGCAGTAACCTAGGAAAGCCAGAATGAAGAGTCCCATAGAACAGCAAGCACCAGGGCCACACCCAACTCCCCGAGAACCTGCACTGAAGGAGGCTCAGGGGAGCCTGGGGAGACTGATCCCTCACATACTGAAAGGCTCACCACGAAGAAACTCTTCTGTAACACTACAGTCCGCAGGCTATGCTTAATGCTTTTATACCCCCAATCACGCCACGACGAAATCCTCTCTGTGGGCAGAAGATGCTAATATTCAGTTCCACTGGAAGAGTCAGATTGCTGGTTTACTATCTTCAAGTTTGTGACTTGCGAGATATAAGAGAATGTTTAACACTGGTGTTTTGTTTCCCATAGAAAGTAATAAAAAAATGTACTTCCCTAACATTCTAAGAAATCTAATACAGTGACCATCTATTTTTCTGTCATGTGTATCATTTTCACATGCCACTTTAAGGATAAACCCAAGGCCTAATTTGGGAATGTTTCCATAGCTATAAAATTAAATCTGTACCAAAGGATTCTAACAAAAAATAAGTATTCAGACTGTCAAGCGGCTAGCTGAATACCTGCAGTTGCTTCAGAATTCTTTTCCTTCTTCAATATGTTTCAACTCTTGAAGATTTGGTTTAAAACAAAACTTCCTCTTTCCTGCAAATTACACTCTAAGGCAGCATTTCAGTAACAGATCAGCTGTTCTGAGCAGCATTCTCAGTCTCTAAATTCCACAAGTTGTAATTGGCCCAGTTAGGTTCTTCCTCTGGGTGGGACCTGCTTTCTGACGGCCCAGAGAAGAGTATCTTGTGTGCAATGTATTAGTGCCATCAAGTGATATTTACTCAGCATCCCTGCAAGCAATGGCAAAACCAGGCCATGTCACTTTGTGCAGGGACGCCAGGGGCCAGTCAGCTCAAGGTGAGGGGCTACTTATTTACAATTCCTTCCTAATGGAGACATCTCAATCCAAGCATAAAGGATGGGCCTGTGGGTCACTAGGGGACACTCAACTTCCCCGGTCAAAGGGGCCCAGATCAGGGCACAACAAAGTTCATATCCCACTCTTCCACAGAATGCCAGTGCCCAAGAACCTCCCGCTTGGCACAGGAGTACGCTGGTTGACTGACCATCTTTGGAGCCCAGCCCCTTCTACTTTCAGCAGTAAACCTGCCTCTTCCTGCACTGCCTACTACCTGAAAGGCAGGTATGTCCAGGTGGGGGGACAGCACTACACTTGGTATGATTCTGAAGCCTCTCAATCTCTCTCTCTCCCACCTCTATGCTCCCCCTTACCTTCATCTCACTCCTCAGCCAGGATTCCTCTGCACCAGGCAGGCCAATTTCCTCTTTGTTGCTTCATAACACCCTGCTCATTTCCAGAAGCTTCTATTCAATCGGATACCCAGGTCTGGAATGCCCTCCTTCCTTCACAAACGAATCCTACCCCTTCCTTAAGGGGAAGATTCCTACCTAGATTCCAACGTCTCCTCCTCCAAGAAGCTTTCTCTGGCTGTTCCAACCCATCCTGCCCCCACTTCCAGGCGGTCGGGAACGCAGGGTGGGGGGCCCAATTATCTCCTGTGACAGATGAGGAAACTGAGCCCAGGGAGGGGAAGGACACACCCAAGATGACACACCAGCAGAACCAGGTCTGGAACCAAGATTCTGCAGCACCAACTGCTCCAAGATGCCCTTCCCTCCTCGTCTCCTTTGCTGTGGTAAAAATTTTTCAAACTAGCCTGGCCGCCCCCAATTGTAGGTAAGTGCCCATACTTACTCTTCCCGCTGCAGGTACACGGACGGGGCGCGAGTTGTCACTCCCCTCACCTCCCCCGCTCCCCACGGCCTAGCGTGACTCCTGCCGCGATCGGGAGTCCAGTCCCGCTTTCTGCGGCCACGTCGGGCCGGTGACCTTGGCCAGGCGCTGGACGCCCCGCTTCCTCCCTACAAGGCACGCAGCCGATCCCGCGAGTGGGGCGTGAGCGCGGCCAGGACCGTGCCACGCTCGACCCAGGGCCTGGTTCACACTAGGTGCTCGGCGCGGGCCGTCCCTAGCCGCCGCCGCGGTCACTCACTGCCGGGCGAGGCCAGCGCCCCGGCCACTGCCGCCGCCTCCGACCCCCGGCTCGCTGCCCGCGGTCCCTTCCCATTCACACCGCTCGGCCTTGCGTCCGGGTGCCCGCGCCCGCCCGGCCCCCGGCGTGAGGAACCCGGTGGGCCTGAGGCGGCCCCGCCACCGCCCGCGCCCTCCGCCCGGCCCGCAGGCCAGCCTGTGCACAGGTTTCCGCACCTCGCCCCGCCGCAGAGCCGCGCGGTCGCTCCTCACCTGGGCTCCCCGAGACAGGCGAGGCGGGTCCGGCGCCCAACACCATGCCCGGCCCGGGCGGCTGCTGCGAGACGCGGCCCCTCACAGCCGCACCGGCTCCCGGCGGCGGGACCGGAAGTGGCGGGGCGGGGACTCGGCCGCTCTCGCCCGCGGCTGCAGAGACAGCAGCGGGCGCTTTAAAAAAAAAATTCAAAGTGGCGAAAAACTTTATTGGAACCAGACACGCGAACAGCGGCGTGCGCCGGTCGGGACTGGGCTGGGCGACCGGCCGCTCGGACCTCGCTCATTGGCAGAGGGCGCGGCCGGGGGCGGGCACGGATTTCGCGACCGTCGCTGATTGGCGAGTAGCGTTAGGGGCGGGGCTTCCGAGTTGGCTCTAGAGTCCGAGCGCCCGAGGGCTGGGGATTTAGCGTCTGGTTCCAACCCGGTTTCACTTCGTGGTCTTTAGGATTTAGGGGCTCGGAGGAGCCCGGGCTATTCTTCCCTGAAGGAGCGGTCTCCGTGGCTGGAGCTCCCGCTGTCCAGCACCGCACCTGAAGTGCAAAGGACTGGATCGGACCCCGCAGCCTGCAGTGCGGGCGGTGAGGGAGACCGGGCGGTCAGACGCGCAAACCACTACCAACCCCAAACCGTGTGCTGCTCCCGCAGGCCCCAATGTTCTTGTCATGTCTCTTCTATTCCTTATTTTCTCTCTTAAATGTGTTTAAAGTGCCTTAAAAATCCATTTCAACTTGTCCTCTTTTAGGAGCCCAGATTCATCCTGCGCTCATTAGCGTCCTGTGTGATTGACGAGGGGCCGCCCTGGGCGTCAGGCAGGCCCCTGGAGGAGTGGACCATCGGAAAGATGAGGTTCAGCATGGAGACGGTCAGAAGGAGACAAGAAGTTAGACTTTCATTTCCAAAAACCCCACTGAGAGGTTTCTAACAGTGGAGTGACAATATCAGGTTTTCTTCCTAAAAGAGGCTGGCGGGCCCGGTGGCTCATGCCTGTAATCCCGGCACTTTGGGAGGCCAAAGTGGGAGGATCCCTTGAACCCAAGAATTCAAGACCAGCCTCCTGATGGTGGCAAGACCCCATCGCTACAAAAAAAAAAAAAAATTAGCCTCATGGTGGAGCGCGCCTGTAGTCCCAGCTACTCAGGAGGTTGAGATGGGAGGATCACCTGAGCCCAGGAGGTTGAGGCTGCAGTTAGCCGTGATCACACCACTGCACTCCAGCTTGGGTGACAGGGCCAGACCCTGTCCCCATAATAATAATAAAGGCTTTGGCTCTAAGAGAGTCTGTGGGAGGGGAGTCAGGAAAACTGGTCAAGAACAACTCGGCCAGGCACAGTGGCTCAGGCCTGTAATCCTAGCATTTTGGGAGGCCGAGGCAGACAGATCACTTGAGGTCAGAAGTTCGAGACCAGCCTGGCCAACATGGCAAAACCCCGTCTCTACTAAAAATACAAAAAAGCCGGGCTTGGTGGTGCGCCCCTGTAATCCCAGCTATTTGGGAGGCTGAGGCAGGAGATTTGCTTGAACCCGGGAGGCGGAGGTTGCAGTGAACTGAGATCCCGACACTGCACTCCAGTCTGGGTGACACAGCAAAACTCTGTTTCCAGAAAAAGAAAAAAGAACGAACGAACACAACTCGTGTTATTTCTTGTGTTTGGGACCATGTGTCTCCCTTTCTTGCCCCGCTAACTGTCAAGTTTTTCTAAGCTAAGACACCACCTTCTCAGAGGCCTCAAAGTCTAGGGGTGGAGTGGGGCAGTGCGCATGTCCTCTGTGTCTTCCTTGCAGCCCTGCACTTCCCTCTTCCTTATTGTCATGGCCTCTTTCCCTGACTAAGCTCAGCTCCTCAGCCCTCCTCTTCCTTCTTCCTCCAGCCTCACCTCCTGACACCCCCTTTCCCATCCTGGGACATGCAGGTGATTAAAACACGTCTGCTGGATAGAGATTGCATGAGCTGGTGGCGTGAGTCCTGGTGAGAGGAGATAAGGGCTTGAAGATTGCAGTGTGTGAAGGTGCAGCCGGAATGGCGTGAGCACTTGTCTTACTCATAAGCATCACTGTCTGCAGAATGGATTGCACCACACATTGGCCCACGTAGGCCCAAATTCCACCGCCGTGGATGAATGAAGTCATTTCTAGCTCCATTTCATGAGGCTGCCTAATTCTTTCACTAAGACTTATTTAGGACTTCCTAGTTTATTAACTCAATTAATCCAAACAACAGCCCCATGAAACAGGTATTATCCCCATTTTATAGATGAGGAAACTGACATAGAAGTTAAGTAGTCTGTTGACAAAAAAGGTCAAACTGTAAAATATTTGAAGAGATTTTATTCAGGGCCAAATATGAGTGACGAAAGCCTGAGTCACAGCCTCAAGAGGTCCTGAGAACATGTGCC